AGATGAGCGCCGCAACCCCAGAGTCGTCCGTGACTGGACCTAATGGTCAGGGGTCCCTCTACCTTTACCTTTTACTGTTTGTTGAATCTGATGTCCAGACTGATGATAGAGAGCATCTACCACCTTGCCTCAGGGCAACAGCTCAGTCTTCTCCGGCCCTTGCCCTTTCCCCCACCCCATGCCCACTTACACCTGCTCCCTGAGAAGGCTGCCTCATTCCAGCTAATAGGAGGACCAGCCCTGTTGGCTGGGGTCCCTCCATAATATATATATTGGGGTGTAATCCTTAATTGGGAGCACCGCCTTTTCTAGGAGATGTGTTCTTTGTTCTCTCTCTGTGATTATTAAAGTTTCTAACTGGTAAGACATGCCTTTCTTTGATCTTTTTATCTACTGCCACGGGGGCGGGCACTGAGGAAGCTGATTCCCCAAAGCCTGACAATGATCTTGCCAAGATCTGCACCAGGCCCCTCTCCCCTCTTTCTGTCTCGTGACCGCTTGAAGGCCACATGCACCCATTTTCCTTGCAGCGTGCCCTGCTCTCATCTCTCGGTGGGCTCTCTTCCAGCTCTGGAGACGAAGGGCAAGCAGCCCTGGCCATCGTGCAGGTCTCCCTCAAGGACTGCGGGGTCTACCAGTGCACCATCCAGAACGAGTACGGCACCGACTCCACAGACTTCCTCCTGAGCGCTGAAGGTGAGTCTGTCCCTTGCTGCCAGGCCTGGCTGCTCCTCGGAGGCGGTGCTCACCTTGCAAGATGTGCGCAGCAGAGGAGAACACCTGGGGCTGTGGACAGGGTGCTTGAGCGCCACAGGCGCTTGGCTTCATCCCGTTGCACTTCACGGCGTTGGTCTGCTGGGCCGCTTTTTGCTGATGCACCTGTTTGGAAGCACAAAGGCTTCTCGCGGGGAGCTTGCTGTGCATGCACACAGTGCAATGCACAGTGTGGGGTGCATGTTAAGTTCATGTGCATGCATGTGCAAAAAGTGCTCGATAGGGACGAGGGTGGCACTGTGGGTTAAACCACAGAGCCTAGGACCTGCCGATCAGAAGGTCGGCACTTGGAATCTCCACGATGGGGTGAGCTCCTGTTGCTCGTTCCCTGCTCCTGCCTACCTAGAAGTTTGAAAGCACGTCAAAGTGCAAGTAGATAAATAGGTACCACTCCGGCGGGAAGGTAAACTGCGTTTCTATGCGCTGCTCTGGTTCGCCAGAAAGCGGCTGTCATGCTGGCCACATGACCCGGAAGCTGTACGCCGGCTCCCTTGGCCAATAAAGCGAGATGAGCGCCGCAACCCTAGAGTTGGCCACAACTGGACCTAATGGTCGGGGGTCCCTTTACCTTAGGACCTATAAAGCCTTAACAGCTTAGGCTATATGTACAGCCGCATTTTCTCATACGAACCGGCCCAAGCTCTGAGATCTTCAGGGGATGCCTTGGTCTTAGTCCACGCCTGGTGGGAACACAGGAGAGGGCCTTCTCGGTGGCTGCTCCCAAACTTTGGAACTCCCTTGCTAGGGAGACTAGACAGGCTCCCTCCTTGTTGTCCTTCCACCAAGCAGGTGAAGACTGTTTTGTTCTGGCAGGCTTTTGGGAGCTGGCTGCTTTTAAGGAAAGGGCTTTTAGCAGTGCTGAGCTGTTTCTACTAGACTGGTTTGCTACATCTTCTAGATTTGATTTTATATCATTTTAATTATAGGAGTCTATAATTAGAATTGTATTGATTCTGTTACATTGTTTTGATTCTATTCTATTCCTGGATAAAACACAGAAAGTTAAAAACATGCAAACCTTAATAGATAAGACGTAATTAAACCATTACAGTATCTCGGTTTTTTTAGTTTTCTTTTTCTTTTCTTTTCTTTACTATTTATTAGAGCTGCCATTTATACTTGTCTCTTTTTTTACAATTTTCTTTTTTATTTTGACAAAGTAATAAGAATAAATAAATAAGAATAAAAATGTGCACCCCACCCCCAAGACCATTCCATTGTAACTATCCAACTTCCCAAAATTTCAACACCTCTTGTGATGGCTTGACCCCTTTCCATTTTAGCAGTATAAATTCTACAAACATCTTCCATATCTCCTCAAAATCATTTCTCCTGCATATTCCCCGCCTTACCTTAATGGCACATCTTAATTTATCATTATTATTTTTAGCTTTCTGCGTTTTATCCATGTTTGTTTTAATTTTTGTGAGCAACCTTGAGTCCTGGTTTGGGGTGGGGGAAAGGTGGGATATAAATAAATGAAGCAATAGTAATAATAATGAGTGCGTCCTAATCTGTCACACAGCCAGGAGTCTCGAAAAAGATGCAGACGAATTGTTACTGTGCATGAATATAGGAAAGCCGTTCAGGGTGCAAAGCAGCTGCAAGAATGGCAAGAATGTGCTTTTGAGGATGGCGGCAGATAATATGTTTGGGGAAATAGGGCAAAGAGAAGCTAGACTTACACAGACCTTCCAGCAAGAAAAGGGAGCTGGACCACGATTAAAATTTGGATTAAATGGGCTGAAAGATTCCTCCTCCCTTTTCTCAGCTGTCTTTTAATACACCCAGCGTCTCCCCCAAAGAATCCTGGGAACTGTTGTTTGTTAAGTGTGTGAGGAATGGTAGCTTTGTGAGGGGTAAACTACAGTTCCCAGAATCCTTTAGGAAAAAGGTGTGCTTTCAGTGTATGGTGTGAATGTATGTGGGGCTCCATAACTGTGATAAATGTGTATTTTTCTATCTTTCTTCCCAGTGCTATCAGGATTTATCTCCAAGGAAGAAATAGAAGGTAAATTGTGCCCCCCAGATGGCGTGGCGAGTCTTGTGCCCCTCCAGGTAACAGGGCCCCCATCCCACATGCTCCAGCTGTGTCGCTGCTGTCGCATGCAAAGTTTAGCATTAAAGGAGTAGGAGAGATCAGTGAGATGGTCTCCACTTTGGGGCGAAAGGCAGAGAGAGGGTGCTGTTTTGAGGTGAGCCTCTCAGCTTCCTTATTTCTCCAAGTGACACATCTTCAGTCATCCTGCCTGGTCCTTCAAGACCTCCATCCCCATGGACCCCACAGTCACAATACCCAGACATACCTTGCTGGGCTCTCTGTCTTCCCCACCCTCTTCTCTCCATGTTGTTCTGTGATCTTGATGGAGGTCGTCCTGCTCATCCACTCACCTGGCTGGCTTTGGGTCCCTTGGGCCTTTTGCCTCTCCTTGTCCCTTGCCTTGTTCTCCCTTGGCTTCCTGTTATCACCCAACAACTGTATCTGAGCATCAAGGAACAAGCGCACTGGTTGGTGCGCCGAGGAGAGATTCCCTTTCACCTGTTGCTGAAGAACAAGTCATGCCTCCTAGATCATTCAGTGGACCTTTTCCCCCATCCCTGTCTCCACCACGAGAACTGAGTGCTGTCAGGTTGGCCATCGTCTCCTTCCCCCACTCTTTGAGCCCCACACCTTCTCCCTCTCTTGCAGTTGGCGAGGAGATCGAGATGACACCCATGGTGTTTGCCAAAGGCCTGGCTGACTCCGGCTTCTGGGGGGACAAGCTCTTTGGCCGGATCATGATGGAGGACCTGGAGGTGGGCCAAGGTTACCTGCGCAAGGCATGTCGCGCCCGTGCCATCTATGGCCTCGAGCCGGTGTTTGAGTCTGGGCACACAGGCATCATCAAGGTCCGCAACCTCATCGCTTTTGGTGGGCGCAGTGAGAATACGCTGGTGGAGAGGAACTATGACATCACCATCCAGGTGGGTAGAGGGAGACTCGGTGCTCTGCTGCTTGCCAAATGGCCTTGGCTGGCTCAGAGTTGGAGCCTTTGCTTAGCATGTAGAAGGTCTCAGGTTTGATCCTGGCCAAGGTATCCTCCTGGAATGGCTCTGGGTGTTGGGGGCGCTGCTTTGCAGTCATCCCACTCTTTCCTGTAGGGTTGTTACCAGGTAAAAAGCATTGGGGGTGCATCTACATAGTTTCATGGCTTCTGGATTCGCCGAAGCTTTCATTCTGCTCCCATTGTGTCAGGCTTCAGGGAATCGCCTTCCTCTCCTGTGGCCGTAGATAAAGCAGAACAAAGGAAAAGGAGTCTTCTTACCAGTTAGAAACTTTAATAATCACAGCAAGAGAATGAAGAACACATCTCCGAGTAATGGCGGTGCTCCCAATTAAGGGTTCCACCCCCTTCTACATCACCTCTACATCTCGCAATCTGAGCTTGTCCCCTCTGTGCTTGCTGCTCTGCCACTTTCTGAGCTCTTCTCAACTTTGGGGAGGGCGGTGGAGGAAGGCTGTCTAGAGACTGTGAATCTGTTAACCCTCTCCCTTCCAGTGTTTCTTCTCCTAGCTGTTCCATCCAGTATTTCCCAGCTTCTGCCTTCTGAACTATGTTCCTCTGCAAACCACTGTTCCAAATCTATACTGTCCTCCTGCTCCTGGGACGATTCGGGATCTGGATCAGGAGCAGGAGGATGCTCCCACCATTGCTCCTCAGTGCAGCCCTCCTCAGCACGGTCCCTGACACATTGTGGCTTAATACCTACATGCAGCTGCTACGGGGAGTCACCCAGAGATGATTGTCACCAGTGTGCAGATGCCACCCAGATCTGTCTCTCCGTCCCGTCTGAATCAGGAGAGGCTGTGCAAGTTCTTAGACCACTGCCTGTCTTTGGTCGCTTTGCTTAAGCATCCTATCTACCTGCCAATCTGGCCTGCCCATTTTGTGTCCACGAGTGTATCACCCCTCTGTTCTGCCTGCAAAGTCCAAAAGTCTCATGGAGGATTGTTTGTTTGCTTTCCGTAGGAATGCAAGATCCAGAATTCGAGTCGGGAATACTGCAAGATCTTTGCTGCCGAGGCCAAAGCCATCCCTGCCTTTGGTCCGGTGCCTGAGTAAGTTGTATCTCTGCAGCCCAGCCAGCAAGTCCCACTGAAAAGGGTTCATAGAATCATAGAATTGTGGAGTTGGAAGCGACCACAAGGACCATCTAGTATAACCCCTTGCAATGCGGGAATCCTTTGCCCAATGTGAGGCTCAAACCCATGACCCTGAGATTAAGAGTCTCATGCTCTACCAATTATGCTATCTCGGAGTTTTTGAATCCAACCCTGCAATCCTGATACCCTGATAGGAACAATGGGCAGGTAGGCAGAAAGGAGCCAGTCTCATTCTGGAGCAGGAGCGAGGACATGTAGCCCCCAAAAATTAGTGGACCACAACTCCCATCAGCCCCAGACAGCACGGTCAGGAATGATGGCTGCCTCCTCTCCTTCTGCACCTGATTGGCAGTGCTGCCAAGGTCCAGAGGGCAATGCCAGTAGAGGCTGTGGCTCCTTTCTCTTGTCCCTGCTCATGTGTCAGGTGTCTAGGCAGCAGCAGCAGCTGACACCAGGACCAGGAGGCTCTGGAGGTCACAGTGGCGCCTTTGCTGGGAATTAGTGGGTGTCCTGGCAGAGTTGCCCCCCTGATGCCAGCTCTGTTGAGGTGTGGGAGCTCTTAACCTGGTTGCAATGCTCTGAGCAGCCACACTAACCAAAGTGGGAATCTGTTTTTGACAGAATCATCCCTCTTTACCTGATCTACCGCCCGGCGAACAATATTCCCTATGCCACCATGGAGGAGGACCTGCCCGGCCAGTTCGAGTGCTACTGTGGGCGAAGAAATGGCAGCCTGGCTCCAGCCAGCCTCTCCGAGGTTGGGCAAAAGTGTTGCGCCTTCCAGCACTGGCTGTACCAGTGGACAAATGGCAACATCCTGGTGACAGACTTGGAAGGTGAGGCTCACGTCCCTGTCCCCTCACTCTCTGGGAATGGGGCACTGGGGGCAGAGGATGAAGCCCTGTTAATTGTCAAGGGGTGTGGAGTCCAGTTCTGGGTGCCATATTTTTAGGAGTGTATCCTGAGGGTTGCCTAATTCTACTCCATCTCCATCTCTGCAGTGTCACACCCTGCCGTGACCTACAGATGTACGCAACCTTCCAAACGTTAGTCACGCCACAGATTTGCATCAGGACATTACAGTATTAGCAGTTCAGCCTTCAATCTCTTTTGTAAGGAGTCTTGATGAGTGGAACGGGGGTGGTGCTGGATGGTCTTGCCTGCCCCCCCCCCCAATTTCTGTGCATTGGGTCCAAGGTGATAAGAGGCTCAATGTGCATGCAGCAGCTCGTGCATAGGAACTCTGCTTGTGATCAGAAACCCTGACAGCAGTCAATCTGCAAGGGGCTGTCAGGATGCTGTCAGCAGCTCCCGGCTGGTTGCCCAGGAAAGTATAAAGACGGGAAAGTTTATTGCCGTCCTTTTTTCTTTCAATCTTTACAGAGAGAGGCTATAGAACCAGCCTCTTGGATAATGGTGTTGTCCCAAGTGAATCTCCACCCTTGTCTCTCCCACTTCCTCATTCATCTCCTCTATGGGTGCTGCTATGTGCCCTCTGTCTTTGAGCTCTTTGCTCTCCTACTTTTAAGGCTTGCCAGGTTCTGGGAGATGGAGGGTCTGGGATGCTTTCTAATGATGTGTCAGCCAGTTGCTGCTCCGGCTCTGCCTGCTCCTCCTCTCCCATTATTTCCCAACTCTCCCCCTTCATCTGCCTCTGAGCTGTGACCTCTCTCAAACCCCTGTTGTAAATCTGTACTGTCTTCCTCTTCTTCCTCCTTGGAAGATTCAGGATGGGGAGGCAGTCTCCACCATTCCTCCTCTGCCCAGTCCCTTACAGGGCACAGGAAGGACCAGCAGATACAGTGAGTCCCATTCCCTGGTCAACATTGTTGTTCTGTATGTCAGTTGAACCATGAGTAGGTTTAGGGTTGAGTTTACGGTTAGGGTTGGGTTAGGGTTTCCATTTTCTAGACCCCCAGTAAGCGCTGCAGCAGAATTGATTTGGGTTGGGCTAGGACAGGCTTCCTTAACCTCGGCGCTCCAGATGTTTTGAGACTACAGTCCCCATCATCCCTGGCCACTGGGCCTGCTAGCTAGGGATCACGGGAGTTGTAGGCCAAAAACATCTGGAGGGCTGAGGTTGAGGAAGCCTGGGCTAGGAGCATGGAGTCCAGACTTGCCAGGTCCCATTAGCTCCGCAAAAGGTAGGGGCTGCTTACCTCTTTGCCGATCTGCTCCATGACCTAGAGGTTGGGTGTCTCTTACAGGTGTTGAGTGGAAGGTCACCAATGTCAAGATTGCTACCAAAACAAAGGGGTAAGTGACCACCTAGCAACGCAGCGTGTTGGGTGCATCCGTCTCGACCCTGATGCCTTGGGGCAGAGGGCCAAACCGGGACACCTGAGCCCTGTTGCCAAAGGCTCACCTAGTCCATCATCTTGCTCCCAACCAGATGCCTCGGCAAATTCTGCAAGCGGGGCATGAGTGCTTGCAGGCCATCGAGATTGGAACGGGGGGTGCAGGGAAATGGGGGCTTCGCTCTTTCCCTTGTGCCACAGCCCTAATGAAAATGAAGCTGTCATTGGCACCAATGGCTGCTTCCCACCCCTGGCCAAATTGACAGGCCTATGCCCGCTATGAGGCTCCCAGAGTGTCCCATGGCACTACCCTGAACAGCTATGGCTTCCATCTCCATCTCCGGAGTCTGCAGACTGCTGTAGACCAGGGGTGGGGGAAGCTGCGACAACTCTGGGGTTTGCTGGACTCCCCAACTCTCATTAGCCCCAGTCGGCATGGCCAGTGGCTAGGGACAATGAGAGCTGTCGTCCAACAACATCTGGAAAGCCACAGCTGGCCCACCACCACTGCAGAAGGTTTGGGTGTGGTTGGAACCTAGAATGCAGTGGACCTAGAACTGAGACCAGAGAAAGCTTTTGGTCACAATTGCTCAGCAAAGGAGAGGGACAACCCGGCTTCCTGGTGGCCTGCTATATGATCCAGGCTTGGGGGGCTCAGGGGGGAGAACTGATTTATGCACTTAGGTGCACAGAGATTCAAAAGGGAATATCCTTAACAGAAGCACCGCAGTCCCTACATACAATTTAAGAAAACAATTCTTAGTTTATAAGCTCATCTTTTAAGTCGGCAAAATATAGAGACTAAAGGTGATATTCAATGTTAGCCATACTTAGACTAACTGAACTTAGGTGACTCAAGTCCATTCATTCCAGTGGGTCTACTCTTGAGTATGACAGGCTAACGTTTGATATTGCCCATTATCATTGTAACTGTCCCTGAGTAGTACACGACAATAATACGTCTGATAATAGAATACTCAACATGTTTCAACCCATATAGGTCTTTTCAGTAGTAAAACGGAGATCTATATCCATTTAGAAAACAATATGAAAATCTGTGGTATGGAAATACATATTCTTTACGGCATCAGCAGAACTGAAAATGCATATAGATTTTTTTTAAAAGCAACTTTCAACCTCTAAAAGAACAACTCCACATCTTAAATACAGTCATACCTCGGGTTGAAGTAGTTTCAGGATAAGTATTTTCAGGTTGCGTGCTGCGACGACCCAGAAGTAATGGAGCGCGTTACTTCCAGGTTTCGCCGCTCACGCATGCACAGATGGTCAAAATGACATCACACGCATGCGCTGAAGCGGCGAATCGTGACTCTCGCATTCGCAGACGCGGGTTGCGTTCACTTCTGTTTTTTTTTTAAAAAAATATTTATTCAAATTTTAAGATTACAGAAAAAGAAAAAATAAAGAAAGAAAAACTAATCACATACATCCTACAAGAAAAACACACAATACAAGGAAAAATACACAAGACAAAAAATCACAATAAAAAATAACAAAAGAAAAATTCAACTTAAACCATTAGAACCGTTTTCCCATTTACTTATTTCCGTGACTTCCTCTCACTTCTCTGCTTTGTATTCTAATTCAAATTGTATCTCCAGCAAATCCTTCTAACCTTCTTTTCATTTACTTATTTTAACATTCAAAAATATTTAATTCTCCTCTATCTTTTATTTTACACTTCATATTTACTTAATTCCATTATACTCTGTCTGCCAATACGGTCTAATATTCTTCTCCAACCTTTTCTAACATTCTTTTATATTACAGTGATTCTGAAGATATGTTTTAAATTTTTTCCAATCTTCTTCCATCGACCCTTCTTCTTGATCTCGAATTCTGCCGGTCATCTCAGCCAGTTCCATATAGTCTATCACTTTTCTCTGCCATTCTTCTCGGGTAGGCAATTCTTGTGTCTTCCAGTATTTCCCAATGAGTATTCTTGCTGCTGCTGTCGCATACATGAAAAAAGTTCTATCTTCCCTTCGCACCAATTGGCCGACCATGCCCAAGAGGAAGGCCTCTGGTTTCTTTAGAAAAGTATATTTCAATACCTTTTTTAGTTCATTGTATATCATTTCCCAGAAGGCCTTGATCTTTGGGCACGTCCACCAAAGGTGAAAAAACGTACCTTCATTTTCTTTACATTTCCAACATTTATTATCAGGCAAATGATAAATTTTTGCTAGCTTGACTGGGGTTAAGTACCACCTGTAAATCATTTTCATTATATTTTCTCTTAAGGCGTTGCAAGCCGTAAATTTCATACCTGTGGTCCATAACCGTTCCCAGTCAGCAAACATAATGTTATGCCCAACATCTTGCGCCCATTTAATCATAGCAGATTTGACCATTTCATCCTGTGTATTCCATTTCAACAGCAGATTATACATTCTTGACAGATTTTTAGTTTTAGGTTCTAACAATTCCGTTTCCAGTTTAGATTTTTCCTCCTGGAAACCAATCTTTTGTCTAAATTAAAAACCTCCCTTATTTGATAATAATGCAGCCAATCTCGAACTTTAGTTTTTAATTTGTCGAAGCTCTGCAATTTTAGTTTATCACCAACTTGTTCTAAGATTTCACAATATTTTGGCCAGTTTGTCTCCATATTAGTTTTTTTCAATGCCTTTGCCTCCATTGGTGACAGCCACCTTGGTGTTTTACTTTCCAACAAATCCTTATATCTCACCCAAACATTAAACAATGCTTTCCTGACAATATGATTCTTAAAGGCCTTATGCGCTTTAACTTTGTCATACCATAGATATGCATGCCATCCAAAGACGTTATCAAAACCTTCTAGATCCAAAATGTCCACATTTTCAAGAAGTAGCCA